GCTGCGGGCATTTCCCAGCGCTGCCAGGGGGGCCGAGCCCCAGGCTTGCACGGAGGAGGCAGGGGGGGGGGGGGCTGCGCCTGTCAGCGATGGGGGGCGTTGCAAGCGCTGCCAAGAGGGTCGCGTCTCACTGCCTCATTGTCACCAGACACCCCCGATATTTAATTATTGAATCGAATTGTGGCGTCTGGGCTCTTCCTAGGCTGCGCAGACGCGCTGGCGCGCTCGGAGTCGACGCGCACGCGCGCGATGGTCGAGCTTGCGCGACTCGCGCGTCGACGCGCCGTCGCGGGCGCGGCGGGGTAGTGCGTTTCCTTCGCTCCAGGCTGATCGCGGATCGCGGAGGAAAATCATGGCGCGCTTTTGTCTGGGGCGGCGCTTCCCGCATTAGATTGCACCTGTCTGCAATTCAGATTGCTCTGGCTTGAAATACAGGTTGCCCCCCCCCATGGGGAATCGGGCGAGGCGTTCTGCCTGAGACTTCTGCAGTTGAATTATTCAGAGCGGCCTGGTCTGAAATTCAGGCAGGCCCGGTCTGAAATTCAGATTGGCCCAGTCTGAATTCCAGAATGCCCTGGTCTGAATTTCAGATGCGATGGTTCCGCGTGGAAGAACGCTTTCGTTTGGCGCCGCCGCCCTGGGGGCGAACGCGGTCGACGTTTTGCTTACTTGCGTGGCTGCGACGTGAGACGCGAGGGTACTCTTTCAACTCCATTGGGGTAGCTTGCGCTCAAGCCCCGATGTTCCCCGGGGAGTGGCGCGCCATGCGGGTGCGATAAAGTGAGAAGTCGACGTTTCATGGTCAGGGTGCCTTGCGATGAACGCGTTGTCAACGTTGCAGCCCGCCGCCCCAATGATGCAAATCAAGTTGCCCCAGGTCTGGGGCGGGGATGGGGCCCAGGAGAGCCCGTTTGCGCTAGGACACTTTCAGTGCATGCGCTGATGGGGGAAGAAAATCGGTTGACAGAGAGGAGGTGGTAGTAGAAAAAACTCAAGTGGTTCATGGCCGGCAACCCCCGCCTTGGAAAGGGCCCCCAGCGTTGCGCGCCAGCGTCTATATCGTGTTAACAAGAGGAGGCCTCGCGAGGACATCAGAGGTATATCCGGACCGAATTTGTCAAGCTTTGGTTGAAGGCCAAGTTCGCCATGTGACGGCTGATGACCGATAGGGTTGTTCATTCAGGACATGTGGCTCTCGGATCAATGGGAATGAGTCAAACGAGGAGCTTGCGAATCATGAGATCGGGCAGAAGCCGGATGAATGTGTTAATGGGCATGTGTTAACCTTGGCCGGGAAACATCATGGCGCGCTTCGCCTCGTGCTTCCAGTAAACTCAGGGCTCGCGCGGGGCGCGTGCTTGCGCGGAGTTGCTCGGGTCCTGGGCGCCAGCCATGCGCTCGAGGCCATAGATGGTAGCGAGATTAAAGGAAAGGGGTGGGGGAGAGAATTCATAGGGGATCGTGCCACCTCGCCACTAATCCACCTGCCGAATAACCTGGGAGGTTCAGCCCCACCAATGAAAGCGCGGAATGACCAACATCACGGGCGTGGTGAAAGTTATCGCGGGGGGGTTCGAGTTCCACGGGCCTGCGAAGCATGCGGGGGTGCTGCGCGGGGGCAGCCAGTTACCAGTGTAGTTCATCGCGAACATGCAAAAGTACAGGCGCGGGGGGATGCGCTGGGAAGTGAGATCGGCCCATAACTCACGTGTTAGTCTCGGCGGGAGGAAACGGAGAAAGTTAGGAAACGCGAGGTCTACGAGAAAGTAGCCGGGGGGGAATGCTGGCAGTTGCTGGAAATACCTTCGCTGGCACGAGGTGGATGGACATCGGCAAAGGGGACGAGGCCAATCCCGAGTGCCGATCCTGGCTGGTTGCACAGCAAGTTATGTGCGACTCCAGGGAACGGGGCATATTTGCTGCCGCCCCTCCACTGGAAGCACAAGCTGTCATTCTCTGTGGCAGTTGCCGACGCAGTAGGGCGTGGCCGAGGGGGCCGTGGCAGGGGCTCAAGCTGGGGCTTGCTGGTGTTAAGCGGGCATGCTTCTACGCCAAGGCCAAAAGGCGCATCTTCATCGGGTTGCCTGTGGACCGGCCAAGGTCCCCCAAAAGCGGACCGTGCATCTGTGGAAGTCTGTTCATATCGATGTGCGGCACCTGGGACGCCGCTTGCCATCGGGAAGACTGCTGCGTGGACTTTGCGCGTGGTACCATTTTGACCACGATGCAGCATTACTGTGCTTATTTAAGCATGAACAAGGCGAATCTGGCGAACGGTGCACGGGAATGATTTTACTTCGTGGGGCAATGCTGTTGGTCTGGATTGGTTCTAAAGTGAAATCGAAGGATGGTTCGCAGGGAAAGCCCGAGGCTGACTTGGACCTGGGCCAGCACTCGCGACTGAAGTCCCTCAGGATCTGGGATGGGCCATGGTTCGATGCGTTTCAGAGGCGCACGGAGATGTCCGTCAAGAAATTCGGCCTGTAGCAGAACATGGTAAGATATGAGATGCGGGGCGAAAAGCAACCTTGCGAGGAAGAGGGCGAGGAGCTCTGTCCAAGTCGCGAAGGTTAGCTATGCAATGCCTCGGCGGCCCAGGCAAGTTATGTTACGCAGGACCGTTCGGACATGCAGTTTTCAGTCGTGGAGCTTCTGCGCTCTATGTCAGCCCCAGCCCAAGAGGCATGGGGCATTTCCACAACATTAAGTACCCTCAGAACCACGACTGGTGCGGGCATCAGAAATTGCACCACTAGCGACCTTTTGAGTTAACGGTGTGGACAGACGCCGACAATGCTGGATGTAAGGAAACACGTAAATCAACAAGCAAAGGAAAAGCTATGAAGGGTCACGTGTGATGACGTCGTGGAGTTCGATTCCGAGCGTCGTGGCATTATCTTTGGGGGAAGCAGAGTATTACTGAATGGTGAGGTGTGGGTCAGTAGCGCGTGGAGTACCTGCAGTTCTCAGATACTTCAACGTTGATTGCGGCTTTGCATGTGGGCGTGATGCTAGTGCGACCGTTGCCATTGCAAGCCGGCGAGGGCTAGGAAAAGTCAGACACATCGAAGTGTGCCAGCTGGGGTTACAAGAGGAGGCGCGCGACGAGGAGGCCAAGTTATCAACGCAGGAACTCATGAGAACCGCGCATCTGCTTTGAGCAAATATGTTAGCAGGGACGACATGGTTTTTTTCTCATCCGATGTGCCAATCTAGATGCCGCCAGCGAAAGATACGAGCTGGCACCTGCTACGGGGTCTTAGCTTGTCGCCCTGCCCGTGTCTTGAGCTCAGGATCAGAAGAGATCCTGGTGCTCGTGTGCACGCGCACACAATACAATACGTACATCATTTTGTAAGTCTGCATTTTGCGACATTTAAAAATCGTGTAGCTCGTGTCAGGAGGCCTTTGCAAGTTGTTGTCCAAATCTTAGTCGGCTGTTGCTTGTGCCAGTTGCGCACGTTCTGGATATCACATTTGACTTACCTTGTTGGGTTGGAGACCCGGCTGCTTACTGGTTGTACTTGTGCTGACTACACGTTTGGGTGCCCATCCGTTACAAAGTTGCTTTGGCCGTTTGTATTATCCTGCGGCTCCACTTTCGGCTAATCAGCCGATGGGGGGGTGTTAAATTGTATCATTCCGGCATGGTGACCACATGTGGCCAGTGCGAGTGCATGCCTAGCAGAAGGTGCTGTGTAGCAGAAAAGTCTGGGACAGCCTGCTAGAAGTGTGATTTTTGAGTTCCACTGGTACATATCAGTAGTGTGCCGCACTTGTTTGCCTCAAGTATTACCGTTTTTTCATAGAAGAACTCCTGCCAGATTTTCAGAGGTCTTGGGTCGCAGTCGTTTCTCTTCGGGGGTGTCCCGGGGGCTCTTCGTCGCCGCAGTTGGGTCCGCCTTGAAGTTCTGGTCACGGTGCGCCCCTGAGCAGGTCAGGGGGTTATTTTTTATCGACTCTTGGGCTGGACCCTCGCGCCACGGCTCGACCAATGGCCGATTTCGTTTTGATTGATGTTTTGCAGTAGTGGCGGAACGAAAGCAGAACGAGATAACACGAACGCAACGCGAAAACGGGACACTGTTTAGGTCGAGCCCTGCCTCGCGCCATGCAGCAGGTCACGCGCGGGAGACTTTCGAAGCCGAGGAGTCAACACAAATCGGCCTCCAGGGGCTTTTTGTCGGGAGGGGCCCCGCGTTCGGCGCGTCCTCGCCTCCGGCGGAATGAGATCGGCGGCGCGCGCCCGCGCGCGGAGAGCTGTCGGAACGTCGGCGGAGGGCGGTGGGAGTTCGGGGATGCGTGAGGCTCGAGTGCGCCGACGTTTTCGCGGCCGGCCGCCTCTCGTATTCGTATTTTTGTCCCTCCCATTGCATGCGGGGCAGTTCGCAATACCGTAGCCTGGGTTGCCTGGGTGCGCGTGCGGACTGCCTCTGCACGCGCGGCGACGCGAAGACTGCGCCGACGCTTTTTGACGAGCGCGCCCCGGATTTTGACTGGTCAGTTTTTGTGGGATGGCTGCGGCGGGGACTCGCGTCAAGTTTCAGACCGTGTCGCGTCATGGCCCCCGTCAGGCCAGTCCGAGTCTCCCGAGCCCAAGTCTTACGTCTCCCCCAGAAGTGCACGTGATGCGTCACTGCCCACGCGCGGGCGGTTTTTGACAACCTTCGGCCTCCAGGGGCCCTCGCTGGGTCCCCAGGGCCTGTCAGGTCAGGAGACGGACAAGAAATCAGTTCCCGGGAAATGCTCCAGACCTCTCCTTGGTTCCGTCGTTGCGGAAACTCTGCAGCATGCCGAAACATCACCCCCCATAGCCTCATCGTTCTGCGGCATGTTTCGAGGCGGATCGACCTGCGATGGTCCCACTGCCCAACAGCTGGCCGACATGCAGGGCGTGAACAGATTGCACCGCCCGGGGCTCAGGAAGCATTTGCGGGGAGCCGCGTCGCGAAGAGCAGGAGCACGACGTCGGATGGCCAGGCTGCCCGTAGCCATTTCGGCACAAGTGCCGGGCGGGGGTATCGTCGGTGGGCCGCGGGCGTGCAGCCCACCGCGCAGGCTCCGCGGCGGCCCCCTCCGCTGATGGACTGGGGCCACCTCCGCGCAGCCACCTCGCAGGGGGAAAAGCCCGTCCCGGGGTGGCTATTCCGGGACATCTGCCAGGAGCCGGAGGATCAGAAACGGCGTCTCGACCACTAGATTCCAGTCAGGGGTGTGAGCAGTGCAGGGAGGTCTATAGGTCTGAAGGGGTGTGTTTGCTGCATTCTGGAAGGTCAGGGAAGGGCATACACTTTTCGGGGGAGCGTAAGACCCGGGTTTGCCAGGACTCGGGTTCGACATCGTTTTTTGACGACCGCGACTCGGATTTTGACGAGTAGGAGTTTCGTGGGATGTCTGCAGCGGGAGGCCTCGTCAAAATGCAGGCTCGGCCTCGTCATTTTTTTGACGACCTCGTCGGGGACTTCCGAGTCCCCCGTACCCGGGTCTTACGCCCCCCTGAACTTTCGGAGCTCCGCGCGGACCTCCAAAAGTTTGTGTTTTTATGCCGTGTTGTTGTCCCTCGGAGGAGGCCGAGCGGCACCCGCAGGACATCCCGGACGTGGCCGAGTACTCGGAGGAGGAGGAGGCGGGGGAGGAGGAGGAGGAGGAGGAGGAGGAGGAGGAGGAGGAGGGGGAGGGGGAGGAGGAGGAGGAGGAGGAGGAGGAGGAGGAGGAGGAGGAGGAGAGGAGGAGGAGGAGGAGGAGGGGGAGGAGGAGGAGGAGGAGGAGGAGGAGGAGGGGGAGGAGGAGGAGGAGGAGGAGGAGGAGGAGGAGGAGGAGGAGGAGGAGGAGGAGGAGGAGACAGACCTCCGACGTGGTGTGTTTTTGTGTTGGAATGCCCTGCGATTTTGGTCCTTCGGGCCCGTTGTCGGGCCCGGGGGGCCATCGAAAAAGAGCCTGCAGCGCAAGCCTGCCGCAGGGCGGCGCATTGAGACATCAGATCGGCGGATATGAAGTCGGGCGGGACGAAAGGGAAGGGATAGGGAAAGGGGGGGGTACGAAACTTGCTGCGTGCAGCTGGTTTCGGCCCCACCGAGGGGCCCATTCCTCGATACATAGCCGCCTCCGGCGCCGGGAGGCGCCGGGAAAATCAGCTACGCGAGCTGATTCTCCCCCCCCCCCCCCTTGCTATCCCCCGCTTCGCCCGACCCGATCACTGTTTGGTTGCAAGGTGAAAACTTGCCCAATCTGGGCTTATCCCGTTTCATTTGTCTCAATCCCGCTGAATCAGCGCCAGGCTCAATTCATTCGGGCTGATCTGGCGATCTGGCTTGATGGCCCATGAGTCGGGCTTGCTTGCCCTTCATCGTTCTGACGAAGACCTCCCATGAGTTGCCTCCTACAGGATTCGTCAACAATGCATTGACGGCTCTGGTTTTTGACGCCTGCGCGGTCGGCGCTACTTCAATGTTGGCATGAGGTGCTTAGCCTACACGCAGGGGTGTCCGAAATTTGGCAGTGCCCTCGCAGAATTGAAGAAGGCGTGTTCTAACAAGCGCCCGAACTATCGGGCGCTTCGATTTTGAACGGCGTTGTAACTTATTTTTGGCGAGGCTTGTAACCAAGGTATGTCATGCAGTGCGTCGCCTGCGACGACCAGAACGTGGCCCTGAAGGGCTGCCTGGCCCTGCGCCACCTGGCCGACGACGTGCCGCAGTTCCGGGAGTACATGCGGCAGTGCCCCGACGCGCTGGCCATCCTGCAGGCCCCTCGTCTCCCTACGGGGCGGCGCGGAGGAGAGAGCGCTGGGGGGAGACGAGGGGGAGGGTGGAGAGGGAGGAGGACAAGGTACCAATACCGCTACTCTGGCTTCGTTCTCGCTTTTTATTGACCTCCTGGGAGGCCCTCGTCGCCACGGCTGGATTATCGGCTCAAAATGCTGGTCAGCACGCCCCTCGGGAGAAGTCCTGGAAACATCGGTATCGGCATCTCTGGGTCCCCCCAGAGGGAGAGAGGGAGGAGACAAGCTGGGTGCGCTCTCGCCATATCTGACATCCTACTCCTCTCACCCATTCGCTGACTTGTCTATATCCGCCGACGTGTGTCATGGCAAGCCTGGGAACCCCCAAACGACCCCATCGCGTGTTGCGCGAGGGGAGGTATGTATATTGGTGGAGGGGAAGGCGAAGGAGGAAGAGAAGGAGGAGGAGGAGGAGGAGGCGGAGGAGGAGGAGGAGGAAGAGGAGGAGGAGGCAGGAGGAGGAAAAGGAGGAAGAGGAAAAGCTGCAACAGCACGGCGACGATCCCAAACTCTCAGGCATCCCAGCCAGTTCCTTTTCACATAAGAAAGCGCCCCTTACTGCAAGCACTGTTTTGATCATGAGTGGCAGAATGTTGTCAGAGGATCGATGTGGATAGCATTCGAGGTCAAGTCTGCATGACTGCTAAGGGCTGCCGCTTAGGAAAGAGGTGTGTGTGGGGGGAAATCTATCAGGCAATCATGCCAGTCGCAATCGCAGAGGGGGGGAGGTGACGGGCTGAGGGAGAAGGGTGGAGAAGGGTCGGGGGGAAGCAGGATGGGCCTGGGTGGCAGCAGAAAGGCAAGTAAGTGCACGGCAGGTTCGCTCGCGCCACATCTGACACCCTGCCCCTCCAGCTCGGGCCGTCTCGGAGCGAGCGGGGGAGGTGGGCTGGGGGGGCCCAGCCATCCGACCGCATGGTCTTTTCCAGGGCGCGGCCCCGGGGGGCCCCGGCCCCGGACCTTCCAGGGGGGCTGAGGACAACCAGCACCAGGACCTCGACGTCGGACCTCCCGTCGAGGCCCTGGACCGTCCAGATCGGCCTATCGGTCTGGAGGGCCGTCTCAGAAGATCGGTCCCATTCTTCCGACTGCGGTTGCCCAGAGTCGACTCCAGAGTCTGAGGGGCCAACATCGGCGCCCGGGCGCCCACCCGCTGCACCCGCCTAGGTGCCTCCTTGCGGGACGGCGTCTGTGTCTGTGTGTGTCTGTGTCTGGAGGGCCACTCCTTGGCACTGGAAGGCCAGGGCACCCTCCCGTCCAGGGGCAGCCTCTCGCCCTGGGCCCCTCCCCGAGGGCTCCCGCGGCCCGAGGGCGGGACCCGAGGGGCCCCCCTTAAGGGGCCCCCAAACTGCCACCGCGTGCCCTTGAAGGTGCTCGCGAGGCACCGCGTGTCTTCACCCAGCGTTCCCAGACCTCCTCGCGCGGCGAAGCGATCACGACGGGAGGTCTTTCGTGAGTCTCGGCCTCCTCCGGGGGCCCTCGCCGGGCCTCGGGAGCGTCAAAAGCCGAGTCGGGACGAACAAAACCGGTCCCAGGGAAGGGGTCCAGGCCTTGGGTGTCGACGTGACGAAGAGATCGCGACGTCGGGGGTCTGGGTTTCTTGCCCCCCCGTAAATCAGCACCCGATGATATCGCGAATGAGTGAATGAGTGAATGAGTATCGCGCAAATTAGTTGCATGCCTCTTCTTGTGCACTTGGGTCCCAGGGTAGCTTCGTGGAGCTTTGTCCCTCTCGAAAAAAATCAGCACCCGATGCGGGCTGGCAGGTCAGGGGCCCCTTCCCAGGGGCAGCCCCTCGTCCACAGGGGGTCCCTCTCCGCGAGGGCCCCCCTCCTTGGGGGCCCGAGGGCTGGCCCTCCCCCTGGAGGCCGAAGTAGCTCGAGGAGGGGCTCCGCGGAGAGGCGGTCGAGGCGCGCAGGGCGGAGGCCTCCTCCTCCTCCTCCTCCTCCTCCTCCTCCTCCTCCTCGACCCGTTTGGAGCACTTGTGGACCTCGTCGTGGAGCTCGCCGATCTTGCCGTCCAGCTTGGCGGGCGGCGTGCGCAGCGACGAGGCCGGAGATCTTGGTCTGGAAGTCGGTTGTGACGGACCGACAGGCCGTCTCCAGCTGGGTTGCGGTGCTGCCCAGGATGTCCGCCAGGGCAGTCCGCATGTCCTCGGGACAGGAAACTGGAAGTCGGTCGACGGATTCCTTGATCCTGTCACCGAGGGAGGGCCCGGGTGGCTGGGGTGCTGCACCAGGGGGAGCACCAGAGGCCGCATCAGGAGGGCCAGCAGCAGGAGCCGCGGCCGGCGCCACACCTTCCGAGCCTGCGGCGCCACGAGGTACTCCTGCAGCAGGTCCGACTTGGGCAGGACCGGGCCCCCCTTGCGCGGTATGGGGGGCTGCGGGGCGACCACCTTTGCCAGCACGTGCTTCAGCCCACGGGTCAGCACGCCCTTGGAGCGGGTCCACTGCCGGCGCGCCGGGATCGCGGCCACCCCGGCCCTCGGCGCCGCGGGGGCGGCGGGCGCATGGCGGCGACGGTGCCGCGGCTGCCGTGGGTTCACTGCCGGAGGACCCATCCAGCTCCTCACTGCGGCTGCGATCCACGTGGCGCCGCTGCGGGTCGTAGTCGGCGGGCGGGCGCTCGCGCTGGCCCGCACGGGTCCGGCCGGACCGCTTGTCAGCGCCGCGGGGGGGAGCAGCGTCATCCATCGGTGTAAATTGTAAGAAAATCTTGGTTCCGCTCGCGCACGACACGCGAGAGCGCCCACTGCGGCGGGCGGCCCGCTCAATTACCTTGAGCCAACACCAGGCCGCAGGACGGGTCGACGCCACAGGGTCGACGCCACAGCAGGCCAGCAGGACGTCCTGGCCGGCAAGGTCCGCGAAATCGAGGAAACGCTCCGCATCGCGGAGCGTGCCGCGGGCCTCACGGACCTCGTCCGCCTCTCCGTTTGGGACCGCAACCCCGAACCGAACTTCTTCACGATCAACGCCAAGGACGACACAGCTCCAGAGGCAGTGCAGCATGCCCTCAGCGCTTGGCTGCAGGCAGCGGGACTCCACCCAGAGCACATCACCCTTCACGGCGCCGGCCCTGCCCGGCGGTTCCATGTCGAAGTACACGGCGGCGTCGTCGGCAACGCCCGCGCCCTCGCCTTGGCCCAGGCCCTTAAGCTCCCGAACGGGCGCTGGCGGCAGTTCAGCGCTATCACCGTGGCTGGACCCGCAGGCCCCCTGTACATCAACCCTGACCGCTCTCCACGCACTCAGCGGATGGAGTTCCAGTCCAAGCGCTTGGCCCAGACCTTGGAACGCAACTACGGCCAGCTTAATTTCTGGGCCAACCGCGGCAAGGGCGAGGTCAAAGTCGACCGCATGCCGATCGCCAGGGTCATCGTCCCGAACGTCCCCGACGAGCCCTCCAAGATCGAGTGGAAGCGCCCCGAGGCGCAACGTCTCGGCATCGACTGCGACCTCATTGACGCGGAGTTCCACAAGCTCTTCCAGGACCAGGGCTCCGACGTGCCGTGGTCCTAGCCGGTGCTGGGCCCCCTGGGCGGACGCGTGCAGCCCCCTGACTGTGGTGACGTGGAATGCACATAGCCTATTGTGTTCCTCCCGTCGTAAACGGAGGCGCAAGCAAGCTGCGCTGCAGAAATTCCTACAGAAAGGTGCGGTAGTCATGATCCAGGAGGCCCACGGCGATGAGGAGCAGCTCAGGGCTTGGCTCTCGAGCCTGCCTTTTCGTTACACATTCTTTTACTCGGGCTGTGCCAACAGCACTCGTGCTGGCGGCTTGGCTTTCTTGGTCCCGATGGGCATCTTCAAGGCCCCCGTCGAGGACCACATGTGGATGGACGTCATCGTTCCTGGCCGCGTCGCGGCCCTCCACATCGCGAAACACCCGGCCACGGTCAACGAGGACCTGCTGGCGTCTTCAACCTGCACTTGTTTGTCGTCAGCCGCGCCACCGCATGCTGACGAACCCGCAGTAATGCAGCCTGGCCGGCCTCAGCCTGCGGCCGCGCCCCCTGACGCTTCTCCAGAGTCGCCGGTATGGTCACGCTGCTCCTCACCTGAGCGCTCCGAGTGCGCAGGGGGGTCGGGCATTGCGCAATCAGCTGGGCATTCTGCGGCATCTTCCAGTCCACGCTCTTCCACCACAAGTTCCTCGGGACCGACCGGCGCGTCCCCCGCGTCCCCTTCATGCTCACGCTCATCATCCACTTCATCATCATCGTCGTCAACTACTCGTTTGGACGCCCAGGATGGCGGCTTAGATTGCCACGCTGGTCGCTGTCCCGGCCGCGTGGCCGATGCGCCGCAGCCGCCCCGCGGCTGCCCTCCGGGCAATACTTCCGCCCTCACGCTGCTAAACATCCACAACTACGACCTGACGCTCCACGATCGGCGCCGCCTGGCCGGTGAAGTGAAAAAGTATCGTGCCTGGGCCTCCGCGTCGCCGCAGCAACGGCTGGTCGTCATCGGGGGAGACCTCAATTTCGACGACGGCGCCCACCTATCGTATGAGGACCCGCAGCGGACTCGCCAGCACGAGGCTCGCCGTGACCATGCCGCACCTCGGTACTGGCAGCAGCTGCTCGGCCGCTTCATGGAGATCAAGATCGACTCCCCGACGCATTACGACGTACACCGGCTTAAATCTTCGACGTTGGACCTGCTCTACGTCTCGGTGCCGCCCGAGGCCGTGTTTGGCATCTCCATGCGCGCCTACCTCGCCTCAGACCCGGCCACGCTTTCCGACAGGAAGCTCAGCGACCACGGCATCCTCGTATTGGAACTGTCCAATGCCAAGGCTCCCGGACGCCGAGATTGCCCCATACCCGAATGGATTTGCAAGGAGCCGCTCTTCGCCACCACATTCGCGAAGGCGATGGCCGTCTCCCGGATGCCCGGGGACCCGATCCAGGTGTGGAAGATCACGAAAGCCAACATCTTGGTTGCTGCCCGCGCCACACGCGACGTGCTCACCCGGGAGCCGGACCTGAGCACCAGGGCGTCTTATCCAGATGCACGTCTGCTCGTCCTGCGCGCAGCAGCCCGCGCGCACTGGCGTGAGGACAGCCGCACGCTCAGCGCATTGGCAAACTCTGCCCCGCTGCTGGCAGATTTCTTCACGGTCTCCGAGGCCGGCACCTCTCTCTCTGACCAGGCGGGCTTCGCTGCTGCGATCCGCGTGGCGGCCTCCGCCGTGCTCGACCGGGACCGCCAGGCTGCCATGGCGAACTCGTCCACGGCTCTGCAGCGCGGCGCCCAGGCATGTGGGGCTTTCTGGAAAGGCAGGGCTGTGCGAGCCGCCCAGAAGGCCCAGCTCTGGCGCCCCTTCCAGAGCGTCCAGGTCTTGGCGGGCATCCTCCAGCCATCGACGCCGCCAGCCGACGCGCCCCCCGCAGGGGCTGCTGCCCCCCCGCCGCTGCCCCCTCCCGCGGCACCAGGAGTGGCTCGCGACCCCGCTGGTATGGCCGCAGCTCTGCGCGCCCACTGGGAGCCGATTTTCGCGGCCAAGGCGGTGCCCAGTGGCGAGGTTCATAACTACCTCCAGTGCCACTTCCCCCGCCTCCCCGACACCCAGCTGCCGTTGCCGGACATCGAGGACGTGGAAAGAGCAGCACGACGCGCCCGCCCCACTGCGGCCGGACCCGACGGCATACCTTATGCAGCGTGGGCACGGGCTCCTGGAGCTATTCAGCACCTGCACGCAGCAATGCTCGCCATCATGGGCGGGGCGTGCCCTCCGGAAGGCCTCAACGCCTCGTGGCTCCAGTTCGCGCCTAAGGGGGACGGCGCCCCGTCGGCGGTGCAGGTGGAGCGGGAACCTGCTAAGACCCGCCCACTTGCACTCAAGAGCTCCGACGCGAAGCTGATGGCGGCGGCGACCATCAGGTACCTCTCCGTTGTCGCGGAGAGGCACGTCCCGAGCCCGCAGCGCGGCTTCGTCAAGGGCCGGAACTTCCTGGAGAACGTGTGGCGGCTCGATGCCCAGGCGAGGGTCGCCACACTCGACCCCCCGGTGGCCCTCGCCCGCCGCCGCCCGTGCCTCGTCTCCTTCGACGCGGCCGCGGCATTTCCCAGCCTGGCATGGGATTGGCTCTTTGCGGCGCTCTCCCAGTTCGGCATCCCGGACTCGTGCATCCAGTTGATCCGGGCGCTCTACGACGGGCAGCACTGTTGGACGCGCATCGGGGCACGGTCCTTCTACGTGTGCCTCGTCCTCACGGGCGTTGCCCAAGGCTGCCCTCTTTCGGGCACTCTGTGGGCTCTCGCCACGGCCCCATTTGTGGAGGCGCTGGCCGGAGCTCTAGCGTTGCCCTCCCGCTCCCTGGCCAGCCGCCCACCCCGCGCAGCGCGGCTGCTCGGTCCTGGCAGGGATGCCGAGCTCGGCGTCTGCGCTGACGACATGGGCATCGTGCTGTGGGACTTCGGCCTCCTCGCCCTCATTGAGCCTCACTTCCGGGCCATGGGGCGCCTCGCATGCTTGCACCTGCAGCCGCGGAAGTGCGTGTTGGTGCCGCTGTGGCTGGACGCCGCTGACCTGCCAGCCACGCTCCAGGCCATCCGCGCAGCTCTCAGAGAACTCGTCCCTGATTGGGCTGATTTCGACATAGCCTCTAAGGTCAAGTACCTCGGGTTCGTGCTGGGCCCAGGGTCAGACCTCGCAGATTCATGGCACCCTGCCGCCACGAAGTACAAGCAGCGCACGGCCGTGCTCCAGACCGTGCCGGTCCCGACTGCAGAATTGATCACACTGTACAATGGTTCAGTTGTCTCTGTCCTCAGCTACCTGGCCCAGCTCCTGCCTTTGCCTGAGGACCTCATCAAAGGCGAGTTGGACACGTTGCATCGCATCTTGAAGGCGCCCCCCAAGAGCTTCGCTCTGAACGACCTGCTGAGCATGGGGGAGTGGGCGCCCGGGCCCGCGTTGAAGGCGCTGCTGCCTGCAGCTTGGGCTGCTGCTTGGAGGACAGCTGAGGTCACTCTCAAAGGGTGGCGTCACTTCGCGGCGGAGTGGCAGGAACGCGCCTTCGATATGCTCCCGGCCCGTGCCGTCCTGGAGGGTCGCTGGGCCGCCCCTGTCTGGACGCGGACCCAATCGATGGTCCAGTACATGCTCTCGGTCACCGAGGCCGCGGTTACCGCGCCCAGCAAGCGGCTTGGCCAGCGGCGCCGGCATGCGCTTGCAGCGGGCAATGCCGCGGCGAAGGATGAGGTCCGCCAGTCTGCTGCTGCGGGCCGCCGCGCCCGCGTGCAGCGAACCCACGCGCGCGTGGCCACCCAGCACTTGCACCCCGAGGCGTTTCACATGACCATCGGGCGCCGGCTGCGCGCGTGGTGGCCCCGCCGCCCCCTCCCGAGCGATTTGCAGCATCGCTGGGAAGTGCTCCGGCGACAGCTGGCCTGCGCAGCTCCTGGCACGTGCTGGGCCGCGTACCGGACGCTAGCGGGAGGATGGCCGACGTCGCACCGCATGCACGTCGGCCAGCCCCGGTTGCCCTGCAGATGGGGGTGCGAAGGACATGCAGACGAAATCTCCCACTACTTGTCCAGTTGCCGCGGGGCGTGGTGGAGCGTCTGTGTGGCCACGCGTGCCATCGCGCACGCGTGCCCCCTGCATCGTCTCGGCCTCGGTGCATCGGCGGACTACGACGAAGAGCCACAGGGCGAGAACGGGCTTCCCCGAACGGTGGCGCGGCTGGCTGCGCTGTACCACACGTACAACCTGCTCCGCCACCGGCCCGGCCCGATACAGCCGCCGCCGGAGGTGGCCCAGGCCTTGGCCCGCGCCGCGGCCCAGCGCGTCCAGGTCCCGCCGCTGCCCGCGCAGGCCCGGCGCGCGCTGCCCACCTCTACATCAAGACCTACATCGTCGGCCAGTCGGCCGGACCCGGGTGTGACGGGCGGCTCGCGTCCGAGCCTGCCCGGGCGCGCCTCTTCCTCCTCCTCCTTCCTCCCCCCGTGCCCGCGCGGATAGGCGTGCCTGACTCTGGGAGGTACGGGCGCTCCTCCTCCTCCTCCTCCTCCCTCCTCCTCCTCCTCCTCCTCCTCCTCCTCGTCCTCCCTCCTCCCTCCCTCCTCCTCCCTCCTCCTCCTCCTCCTCCCTCCTCCTCCTCCTCCGCCTCCTCTCCTCCTCCTCCTCCTCCTCCTCCTCCTCCTCCTCCTCCTCCCCTCCTCCTCCTCCTCCCTCCCTCCTCCTCCTCCTCCTTCCTCCTCCCTCCTCTCCTCCTCCGGGCCTCCTCCGCAGGCCGCACTCTCGGCCATCGCGCGGCTCGATGCGCGCGCCTCCGTCGGAGGGCCCCAACTATACACCAACACCGTTCCTGGCCCAGGATCACCCTGGGCCCAGGATCGGTGTGTATGCCTTCTTGCCCAAGGCAGGAGGGCGTATACACCGATCCTGGGCCCAGGGTGATCCTGGCCAGGATCAGTGTTGGTGTATAGTTGGTGCCTTCCTACTCCGGCCGCGGAGGTCGGTCAGGACCCACACGTTCACGTCTGCGTTGCTCTGATACCGCGGCAACCTGGCATTCTTGCCTCCTCTGCGCGGCACGCCATCCACGTCCACATTCCCCAAGCGTCACCGTCCTCATACCCCCTCTGGTCATGAAAAATCGTGTCAGGAGTTTTTTTCACTATTTTTGGTCTCTTGGGGCCCTCGCCGGGCCCCAGGACCGTCAAACATGCGTCAGGATGAAGAGCCGCTCCCGGGGAATGGGTTGAGACTTCTTGGGGTCGACGTCAGGAAAAATCATGACGTCGGAGGTCTGGGTCCCGAATCCGGCGCTCTCATTTTTCCGATGCGTGGGTCCCCGGGGGTCTGGACGTCTGAGGACCGCTTTTTCGTTCCGAGTCGTTTTGTTGAGATCCAGTGGCCCGGTGATGGCCGTAGTGGCCGAGAACGGCTAAGAACCCGCCCCTCCAATTTTTGTCGGAGCTTCGGATCTCCGGGCCATCCGCTTGCAGGGCACAGCGCGGCCGCCGCGACGCGCTGTGCAAAAGACGTCGGAGCGTAGGGCCGCGCCCGCAGGACGTCTCCGCGCCCCCGCCCCTGGCCATCACGGCCAGCCTCGAGGCCCCCGAGGCCAAGTTCCTGAGGGAGGCTCGGCGACTACAATGGGTGTCCAGATCAGGGCTGGACCTAAACGCTGTTCTGCAGGACTTCGGCGGTGTTTAGTTTTTCGTTTTGGCAGGGAGGTACCGGAAAATAGGTAGAGCAAAACGAAAACAAAATGAACACAATACGAAAAAAAAAACGTTTAGGCCCAGCCTTGGTCCAGATCATCTGTTACCTAACTTTTTGGGTAATAGATCGTGGGCGCGCCAGATTTCTGTCGCGACCGGAGGGGGCCGAATTGCGGCAACGAAGAGGCGGCTTGTCGGGGTCCAAGCGAGAGTTTTAAGGCCGTCGACGGCTTGTTCGTTACAGGAATTCGCGACCAGAGGTTGAATTTCGGTCGCGACCGGTTCGTCCAGAGCGTATCCGAAAATATTCGGTACCGAATGATCTGGGGTGTGGTTTGCGATCGGCGCCGTTGGGGCTTTGGGGGCCACCACGTCGCGCCACAGGTTTGCTGAGACCTCGTCGAGGCGCGGCAGAGATCCCTATCCCAGACATCCCGTTCTTTATTTTGGGATGCGTGGGCCCCGGAGGTCTGGACCGTAGGGCAGGTTGTTCGTCCCGAATATTTTTGTGAGTTCCCGGGGCCCGGCGAGGGCTCCTGGAGGCCGGAAATTACAAAAGACCCGCCGTTCCAATTTTTTCCAACCACCCTGTGGTCTTCATCAGCATCATTATCATCACCATCATCATCATCATCATCATCATAATCATCATCATCATCATCATCATCATCATCAGCAGCAGCAGCAGCAGCAGCAGCATCAGCATCAGCATCAGCATCATCATCATCATCGACGTTTCTCTCCTCCTCTCCCTTGTTCCTGCCCATCATTACCAATCACACTATTATCCTCATCAGCATCAGCGTCAGCATCAGCATTTTCGATATCATAATCCTCATAATCATCATCAGCATCATCATCGTCATCCTCATCGTCGTCATCAGCATCATCAGTAGCATCATCATCAGCAACAGCAACATCATCATCATCATCATTATCAGCATCATCATCATCATCATCATCATCATCATCATCATCATTATCATCATCAGCATTATCAACATCCGTATCATTATCATGGCATTATCGTTGTCGTTATCATTTCCATCAGCATCGTCACCATCATCATCAGCATCAGTATCGGCATTCTTATCATCAGCATCATCATTATTATCATCATCAGCATCATCATCTTGTTCGTCATCAGCGTCATCAGCATCAGCACCCGTTCTTCTGCTCTCCGCATGTCATCCCTCACGTCATCCCTCGCACGTGTCGTGGCCCCATATTGAGCTCCACCGAAGGCCCCGGTGGCACCGCCCGCTTGCGTCACACCCACCCAGTACAGCGCTTCGTGGCCCAATAGGGGTCCTCACCACAGGCTCGAGTGGCACCGCCCACATGCGTCACCCCCACCCAATACAGCGCTTCGTGGCCCTATAGGGAGCTCCACCGAAGGCCCCAGTGGCATCGCCCGCATGCGTCACCCCCACCCAGTACAGCGTTTCGTGGCCCCATAGGGGGCTCCACAGAAGGCCCCAGTGGCACTGCCCGCATGCGTCACCCCCACCCAATACAGCGCTTCGTGGCCCCATAGCGAGCTCCACCGAAGGTTCCAGTGGCGGTGTCCACGTGCGTTTCCTCCACTCAGGGCAACGTTTCGTGGCCCGGTAGGGAGCTCCACCGAAGGCCCCAGTGGCGGTGTCCGCATGCGTTTCCCCCACGCAGTGCAGCGCTTTGTGGCTTCATAGGGAGTTCCACCGAAGGCCCCAGTGGTGGTGTCCGCATGAGTTTCCCCTTCCCAGCACAGCGTGTTTCTTCGCCCCAAAGGGCGCTCCACCGAAGGCCCCAGTGGCGGTGTTTGCATGCGTCCCCCCACCCAATGCACGCTTCGTGGCCCCATAGGGAGCTCCACCGAAGACCCCAGTGGCGGTGTTCGCATGCGTCTCCCCCGCTCACTACAGCGCTTCGTGGCTTCATAGGGAGCTCCACCGAAGGCCCCAGTCGCATGGTTCGCACGGCGGCCCCGTTCCATGTCGGCACGCCCCTCACACGTTTCGTGGCCCCAAAGGGAGCGCCACCGAAGGCCGCAATGGTTGCGCCCGCATGTGTCCCCGCCTCATGCCGCCACACCCTTTACACGCTTCGTGGCCCCATATAGACATCGACCGAAGGCGGTACCCACAACAGCGACACTCACAACTGCACATGGTTGGGCCCTTCGCCAGGTTAGTTTTTAGGGGAAAAGATGACGTAGTCATAAAAACTCGGAGGTCCGCGCGGATTTCTCGGATCGGCGCTGGACCATCCTCCCTGGCGCGCGGAGCGCGCCAGGGGCGGCGCCGGAGGCGCCGCCAGGGGGGCCTCGGCGCCGATCCGAGGAATCCGCGCGGACCTCCGCGTTTTTATGCTTATGCCACTCTTTGTGCCCCTAGTTTGGGAGCGTCGGACCTCTGGGAACGAGACCCTCCCCCGTTCACCCGCCCCTTGGCAGAGCACGCCCTAGTTTTGGAGCGTCGGACCTCTTGGAACGTCGGACCTCCTGGAGAGTCGCCCTCTGGGAACCAGACCCTCCCCTAGTTTTGGAGCGTCGGACCTCTTGGAGGAACGAGACCCTCCCCCGTTCCACCCGCCCCCTCGGCACAGCACGCCCTCCGGAGTCGCCTCGAGAGGCCGCGGCCCGGGCGCTCCGGGCGTGCACCTCGCGGGAGGCGGGCGCCGAGGCCGCGCGGAAGGCGGAGATCCGGGCCCGCTGCCAGGGCTTCGGGAACTACGCGCCGCCCGAGGAGGAGCTCTTTAGGGAGCGAAGAATTGACGGACCAACAACACGAGGAGGAGGAGGAGGAGGAGGAGGAGGAGGAGGAGGAGGAGGAGGAGGACCTCGCGTCGGGGCGCAAGTCACGGCGGACTTCGTTTTGCCGTTTGCCGGGCTCCGGGGGCCTTCGCCGGGGCCCAGCGGCTGTCAAGAAGCTGCTCTCGGAGGCGACGATACGGGCGAAGATTCCAGTGACGAACCAACATCACACACCCATATCCACAGGGGGGGTCGGAGAGGGCTATGGGTGCGTGTTGTCGGATGGGGGTCCCCGCTCGAACGGGAGGGTTCCCCAGGGTCCGACAACCCGCACCCATACCCATAGCCAGTCCTCCTCCCAACGACCCCCCTATGGGTATGGGTGTGTGTTGTTTGTTCGTCAAGAATGACGTAAACATACACACTCGGAGGTCCGCGCGGATTTCTCGGATCGGTGCCGGGGCCCCCCTGGCGGCGCCTCCGGCGCCGCCCCTGGCGCGCTCCGCGCGCCAGAGAGGGGCGTCCAGCGGCGATCCGAGGAATCCGCGCGGACCTCCGAGCTTTTATGTTTATGTCATTCTTCGTTCCCCCACTCTCGGAGCCCAGGCGGGCTCGCGTCGCGACGAGCATCAGGATGGGGAGGTTGTTCGTTTTCGCGGCCCTGCCCCGTCGCAGCGGTGCTCGGCAGGTGCAGCACAGAAAAGGAGTGGTCAGTCGCGTTCCGCCTCCCTTGGCCCTGGACAGGCCGGGGGGGCCGCCAGAAAGCACGACTCGGCACGAAAAGCCTGCCCCGAGGAAAGGGTCGGGGCTCCCAGAGGCCTCGCGCGGAACACAGCAGGGCGTCGCATGTCTGGAGAGGCCCGGCTGCGGGCGAGAATGGGGAGGACGGGAGAGGACGAGCGAGGACAGGGGGGACGCTCGAGGAGGAGGAGGAGGAGGAGGAGGAGGAGGAGGAGGAGGAGGAGGAGGAGGAGGAGGAGGAGGAGGAGGGGGGGAGGCTGAACAGCCCCGAGACCCGGGCGTTGCAAAAGCCTTTGCAGTGGTCGTGCCTTCCCGAGGAGCAGCCCCGCGGCGCCGGCGGCGCGGTGGAGCGCGCGGCGGACTACGTCGGGACGGCGCTGGCGGACACGGTGGACGACTTCCGGGAGAAGGGCGCGGTGGGCGCCGTGCGCGACGGCGTGGAGAGAAGGAAATCGGAGGTGGATAGACCTCCTACCCTGACACGTCGATTAGGGAATTGGCCGTTTTCGGTTCGCGATAGGGCGTCGGGGCCGCCATTTTTGCGGGTCCAGGTCCGTCGGTTTCGGTCCGGGGCCGTTTTCACTCAGGGGAGGTTTACTAAAGGGAGGCTTGTCCACCGCCGAGGAAAAACACCACAAGCATGAGTTTTTGACGCTCCGCGCGGATTTTTCTTGGATCCGTGCTGGGCCCCCCCCGGCGGCGCCTCCAGCGCCGCCCCTGGCGCGCTCCGCGCGCCAGGGAGGGGGGCCCAGCGCAGATCCAGAGAGCCCGCGCGGAGCGCCCAAAGTATAGATGTTTGTGCCGTGCTCTCTGCTTCCAGGCGTGCTGGACGCCGCGGACCTGGTGCTCGACGGGGTGGGCGCGGTCTGGTCGCTGCTCGCCGGCCGGCGCAACGCCCCAGCCCCGGTCGAGCAGGAGCGGGCCCACACTCTTTTGGTCTGCGGGTCGAGAGCGAGCCTCTCCCGGAGGAGCGGGCACACACGTGAGGCGTGCCAGGCAGGGTCCCGCCGGCGAGGCCCGAGGGCGTGGCCCCCGGGCTTACTCGGCGGAGGGCGGCGGGAGCAAAGCGGGGGGGCGGCGCCGCGGGCGGAAGAGCCGGCGGGAGGCCAGCGGAGGGTCGGGAGCATCTCCTGGATCTTGCCTCGTCGCGCAACCTCGCTGCAGGCCGCCCGATCCAGTTTTTCGGCTGCGCTTGGCTCGGAGGGTCGGGACAGGCCTCGGAAGAGATTAGCGAGCACGTGCCACATTCGTCCGTCAGCGCCGCCCCCTCCCCCCAATGCTCAAAGTTGGCGGTGGGCCTGATGAGGTGCACTTCGACCGCAGTCTCCCCCGCGCGTGCCAGCGTTGAGCTTGGGGGGGAGGGGGGGTGTTCAGTATTTTTTCCCCTCTACAGGATCATCTCCTGGATCTTGCCTCGTCACACAGGCTCGCTGCAGGCCGCCCGATCCAGTTTTTAGGCTGCGCTTGGCTTGGGTAGAGACCGAAGCCTGCCACGGAACTTCCATGGACCGATCCTAGGGATGAGTGCTGCCAAAAAAGGAAGGCCAGCGGAAGCTGGCGGAAGTAACGGATGCGCCGCCAAGAGAAGACAATCTTTTTGGGTTCGTGGCAATTGTTTCAACACTGGTCTGCAGTGCAAGTAAAAATTGACGACAATATTTGTGGGTTCAGGTATTCCACAATCGGCCACAAACAGCGGAGGCAAGTCCACCAGAAACCTTCCACACGACACCCAACTCTGAGACCGCAGGACGTTCCTTGATTTTTGGTGTGGGTGCGTCGCGCTTCCCGTCGCAAGACCATCGAAACCAAGGACACCCAGTGCACCCCGGAGGCAAACAGGGTGTTTCTGGGCATCGGCCTCCACTGTATTCACCACCCACCAAATCACCCCAACCCAACCCAACCCGAAGGCTTCAGTTTGCCCTCCATTTCCAGTGGGGGGTGGTCCTGGGAACATGGAAAAAAACACATATGGAACCCGTACCCCCCCAGCCCGAAATTCGGGTCTTCGGGTTGGGTTGGGGTGGTCTGGTAGGTAGCCATGCATGGAACTCTCTTTGACTGCCTTCGGCAAAAGCGGCTTCTTCCCGATTCGTCCAGTGCCGGCCAGCGTGGGCCCCGAGCAGTAAGGTGACTTACCTACTGCACTGTTCAGGAGGGGAAAAAACACACAGACACAATTAATCGGCGATTCCCAGAAAATATTGGAAAATATGGGAAGTAGAGGGGAAGACAAAAACCCAGAAAATATGGGAAAGTATGGGGAACATTTTTATTTGTGTGTATTTATTTGTGTGTCCCAGTTCCCCTTCAACTGTGGTGTCATCTGCGTGGCTCGGGCGATATTTGGTGTAGGGTCTACAGTCCACGCGCCCAGTAAGGACGCGCGCCTTCATCCAGGATGCCCTCGCGTCCTTGCCTCTGTGGCCCGTCCTTTTTGCCGTTTTCGCTGGTCGCCGCCGCCCAGAAAAGCCCAGCTTCCGCCTCCAAGGGTCCTGCGTCCTCACCACGCGTCCTTCTTATACGTTTTGACTGTAGTTGCCTCCGGGCCATCCCGCCACCGCGCCTGGGCTGTGGGTCAGAGTCCTCAGGGGCGTTTCCTCGGGCCTCTTCGGGGCGCCCTCGGGGGCCCCCTTGGGAGCAGCTCTCCTGGGGCCTCTTGGGGGCCTCTTGGGGGCCTCCTGGGAGCCTCTTTGGCGTAAGATCTGTGGTGCAAGCTGTGTTGTGCAAGTTGCTGGCCGCTCCAGCCTGCTCTTCGCAGAACTCTTCCACGTCTGAGCGCTCCGATGTCGTGATTCCTCTCGCTTCGCGGGGTGCACGTCCGGAGCGCGTACAGTCCAGTCGTTGTCGGGCCTCTGGGAACTTCTTGGGGGCCCCTTGGAGGCATCGTTGGGGCCTCTTGGGTCCTCTCGGGAGCGTCTGGGAGGCCTCTTGGAGGCCTCTGGGGGGCCTCTTGGGGGCCTGTCGGAGCCCCGTGTGGGCGTCTTGGGGGCGCTCTTGCGCTGTCTGGTCCCTTCGGAGATTGGCTTGGGGTACTCTTGGGTCGTCTTGGGGGCCTCTTGGGGCATCTCGGCGGCCTCTTTGGGCTGCTTGGGGGCCCTCTTGGGCCGTTTTGGGGCCCTCTTGGGGTCTTCTTGGGCTGTCTGGGGGCCACTTCGGAGGCTGTTTCGGCCGTCCTGGACTTCTTAGAATCGAAATAGGCGGGAACGCTGAAATCTTCAACAAAATCCATATGAAAATCAATGGTTTGTGGCTTCTGGAGATGGTCTTGGGAGTCCTCTGGGGGCCCTCTTGGGGCGTCTTGGGTCTTTGTAGGCCCTCTTGGGGCCATCTTGGGCCGTCTTGGGGCCGTCTTGGGCTGTCTTGGGGCCATCTCGAGCCGTGTTGAGGCCTTGTTGGGCCCCCAAGAGGGCCAACAGGCCCAACTCATTGATTTTCTACAGGTTTTGGTAGGCTTTTGAGGCGCAGGAGGGAGGGGCCACTTTGGGTCGGCGGAAGTGGCGTGGCCCCTGGGGGGGCTAGGGGGGTACATAATAAGGTAACACATTACAAGATTTAGCAATTATGCAATCATTGGATACATTGGATACATTGGATACGTTGCATTATAGCCTCCGCGGACCTGCCGCAGCGCCCCGCACTGCCGCGTTGGCGGTAATTATTTGTCAGCTAATGGTCTTGCAGGTTGCTGCGCGCTTCCGACACGAGGCATCCACTGGCTGCAATTGGGAGGTGGATTCCTCTCGCTTCGCGGGGTGCACGTCCAGAGCACGTACAGTCCAGTCGTTGTGGGGCCTCTTGGGAGCCTTTTGGCGGCTTCTTGGAGGCCTCTTGGGGGCCTCTTGGGGCCTCCAGGGGGCTTCTTTGGGGCCTCTTGGGGCCCATGCGGGGCCGTCTTGGGCCGTCTTGGTGCGTTCTTGCGTTCGGTTTGGCCCCTGCGGGGGCCGTCTTGGGGGCCTCTCGGGGCTCCCTTGGGGCCTCTGGGGCCTCTGGGGGGCCCCTTTGAGCTGTTCGGTGTAGTTCGGAGCATTTACTATCCAGTCGTTTGGAGGACTCCTGGGGTCCTTTGGGGGGGGGGGCCTGTTGGGGGCCTTGTGGAGGTCTCTTCGGGGCGTCTTGGACCGTCCTGGGGCGATTTGAATTTCTTGAGACCTTTTGGAGGGCTCTAGGGGGCTTCTGGGGGGCTTCTTGGAGGCCTCTCGGATCCCCGTGGGGGCGTCTTGGGCCGTCTTGATGCGCTCTTGCGCTGTCTGGTCCGCTCGGAGGCAGTCTTGGGGGCCTGTAGAGGCCGCATTGGGGCTCTTTTGGGGTCCTCTTGGGCCGTCTTGGGGGCCTCTTGGGGCGTCTTGGGGGCCTCTTTGGGCCGTCTTGGGGCCCTCTTGGGCCGTCTTGGGGCCCGTCTTGAGCCGTCTTGGGGCCATTTTGGAGGCTGTTTCGGCCGTCCTGGGCCTCTGAGGGTCGAACTAGGCGAGAACGTTGAAATCTTTCAAAAACCGATGGAAAATTAATGATTTTGGCTTCTGGAGGCGCTCTTGGGTGTCCTATTGGGGCCCTCTTGGGGCGTCTTGGGAGCTTTTTGGGCCGTCTTGGGGCCGTCTTGGCCCGTCTTGGGGCCATCTGGAGCCGTCATGAGGCCTTGTTGGACCCCCAAGAGGGCCAACATGCCCAAATCATTTATTTTCCATAGGTTTTGGTAGGTTTTTGAGCCCGAGGAGGGGGTCGTCAGCCTGGGTCGGTGGATGTGGCGTAGCGCTCTTGGGGGGGGTCTAGGGCCAACATGCCCAAATCATTTATTTTCCATAGGTTTTGGTAGGTTTTTGAGCCCGAGGAGGGGGTCGTCAGCCTGGGTCGGTGGATGTGGCGTAGCGCTGGGGGGGGTTAGGGGGGGAGACATAATAATGTAACACAATGCAGTATGTGGGAATGATGCAAACATTGGACACAACAATTGGATACATTGGGTACGTTGCATTATCGCCTCCGCAGAAAACGCTGCCGCTCAGCACGTCACTTCCGGACGTGGATTCCTCTCGCTTCGCGGGGTGCACGTCCGGAGCACGTACAGTCCAGTCGTTGTGGGGCCTCTTGGGAGCCTTTTGGCGGCTTCTTGGAGGCCTCTTGGGGGCCTCTTGGGGCCTCCAGGGGGCTTCTTTGGGGCCTCTTGGGGCCCCTGCGGGGCCGTCTTGGGCCGTCTTGGTGCGTTCTTGCGCGGTTTGGCCCCTGCGGGGGCCGTCTTGGGGGCCTCTCGGGGCTCCCTTGGGGCCTCTGGGGCCTCTGGGGGGCCCTTTTGAGCTGTTCGGTGTAGTTCGGAGCATTTACTATCCAGTCGTTTGGAGGACTCCTGGGGTCCTTTGGGGGGGGGGGGGGCTGTTGGGGGCCTCCTGGGGGTCTCTTCGGGGCGTCTTGGACCGTCCTGGGGCGATTTAAATATCTTGAGACCTTTTGGAGGCCTCTGGGGGGCTTCTGGGGGGCTTCTTGGGGGCCTCTCGGATCCCCGGGGGGCGTCTTGGGCCGTCTTGATGGGCTCTTGCGCTGTCTGGTCCGCTCGGAGGCCGTCTTGGGGGCCTGTAGAGGCCGCATTGGGGCTCTCTTGGGGTCCTCTTGGGCCGTCTTGGGGGCCTCTTGGGGCGTCTTGGGGGCCTCTTTGGGCCGTCTTGGGGCCCTCTTGGGCCGTCTTGGGGCCCTCTTGAGGGCTTCTTGAGCCGTCTTGGGGCCATTTTGGAGGCTGCTTCGGCCGTCCTGGGGGCCTCTGAGGGTCGAACTAGGCGAGAACTTGAAATCTTTCAAAACCGATGGAAAATTAATGATTTTGGCTTCTGGAGGCGCTCTTGGGTGTCTATTGGGGCCCTCTTGGGGCGTCTTGGGAGCTTTTTGGGCCGTCTTGGGGCCGTCTTGGCCCGTCTCGGGGCCAT